TACTCTCTCTCTCTCTCTATCTCTCTCTCTTATATATATATATATATATATATATATATATAATATAATCTCACACTACAGAGCCCCTAATTTGTTTGAAAAAACTACACAACAATTGGTTGATTTGTCAGAACTATAGAAACAACCAACCCATGCTATCTTTAGTCGTAATATTCTAAATCTTTTTATCTTTTTTCAGGTTATTATTGGTAGAAGTTATATCTTCACACTCTATGCTGCTAACATAGCTATCATCTAGGCATTTATGCTAAATATAGAGGAGCTTTTTTTCTTCAGCTTTGATGTTGAACCTGGTTGTCCTCTCTGTGTGACAGAGGAAGTGTCTTTTATTCATGTCATCCCTGATGTTGTGGAACAGTGGAAGTACTGGCATCTTTGACTTCCTCTTATTTTGACAACTGCTGCTTCTCTTAATTCAACTAGATGGGCCATCTCCATGATGAATGCAGTAGATGTTTATTCCTCTAAATCATCTAAAATGCTTTACATTACCACTATACCATGAATTGGACATGGCAACAGTCATTGCTGGCTCCCAAGCTTTCCATTATGAGAACATGATGAATCTAGCATTATAGAAAACATGTCAGAGCAGGGCATATAGGATTATTTTTAGGATTCACTTTAGTTTTCCAAGTTTTGAAGGGATTTGTTTTTTCCGAATTTTGTGGGAGATTCTTTTCCTATTTTGGGGGGAGACAATCATTAGATTTTAGGAATTAGACATTTTTCATAAGAGAAACTCATTTAAAGATGTTTATGGAATAAGCTTTTTCACTTTAAATAAGTAGATGAACTAGGGGTCCCTTGTTGAATCTCTTTGGGATTTCATTTTTTTCTCTATAAATAGCATTGTCGAGAGAGAAACGATCAAGGGTGTAGAGAAACCTTGGCCTGCGTGTAGAGAGAGAAAAGCTTTGTGAGAGATTGAGCTTGTTTCTGGTTCTCTCAAGTAAAAGTCATCTTGTAATTTTCTTTCTATTGATTGGTGAAAATCCATTGATTGTTTTCGCATGTGGATATAGTCACAACTGTAACGAGCCACGTAAAACCTTGGTATTTTTTTTGCTTTATTCCTTTTTTTTTTTTTGCTTGTTGCTAGTTTTATTTTTCTCGTTCTTACTTTGCCAAGAACTAACTTGTTAGGTTTTAGAGCTTCCGCACACAACAAGTGGCATCGGAGTTTAGGTTGAAGTTGTCATAATGGTGGTCAAGATTTCGAATGCAAAGTTCCAGCTAGAGAAATTTGATGGCAAAAACAACCTTGGAACTTGGCAAATCAATGTTCAGGATTTGTTAATGTAACAAGATTTACGTAAATCTTTGAAGGGATGACAAAGAAACTAGAGTCCATGTCAAATGGGGACTTGGAAGACTTAGATTTGAGTGCTATAAGCACTACTCGATTGTATCTATCGAGCAAAGTGTTGTATAACAACATCAATGAGGATTTGGCATAAAGCCTTTGGTCAAAGCATGAGAATCTATATGTGACGAAGTCCCTCACGAATCGGTTGTATCTAAAGCAATAGCTCTATACCCTGCAGATGAATGTAAGTACGGATATCCATGAGCACCTGAATCAATTCAAAACAATTAGTTTCAATTATTGAGTATTGGTGTTAAGATGGATATGAGGATAAGGCTATAATCTTGTTGTCCTTGCTTCCTTATTCGTATGAGCATCTAATCACAACCTTGCTCCCTCATTCGTATGAGCATCTAATCATAATATCACTTTATAGAAAAGATACCATAGAGATGGAGAATGTGATTTCGACTCTTCTCTCGAACGATTTGAGGAAGAGATATGATAATGCTCAGCCACATGCGGATGGATTAGTGGCTAGAGGGAGATTGGTTGACAGAAATAAAAGGAGACGTGAAAGTCAGCGCAGGTTCAGATTGAAATCCAAATAAGAAAAAGGTAATATTCGATGTTCTTACAGCAAGAAAAAGGGACATGTTAAGAAAGATTGTCAAAAGCTCAAAGAGAAGGAAAATAGAGCCTTTCATGTGGTTAATATGTTTATGGTGGCTCGAAAAGCAGATAAGATAATGTGTCGTCAGTCTCAATAAATTGTGATTACTTTAAAGACTCGTGACTTCTTGATTCAGGATGTTCCTCCCATATGTGACCTCACCAGAATTGGTTCACGGCATACAAGAGCCTTGATGATGGATCAGTTTTAATGGAGAATGACGTGGCTTGTAAGATTGTTGGCATTGGGACATTAAATTTTAAGATATATGATGGAGTTGTGAGAACCTTAATTGATGTAAGACATTTTCCAGATCTGAAAAAAAATCTTATATCATTAGGTGCCTTAGACTCTAATAGCTATAATTGTTTTGGAGAAGGTAGAGTCCTGAAAGTTCTAAACAGTGCCTTGGAGGAGTGTTTAAAGGCAAAGAGATTTGGACTGAATTTTTATGTGCTGCTTGGGAGTACTGTCACAAACAAAGCTGCTGTTTCCATATCTGATAGTAATGATACTGACTTGACTCAATTGTGGAATATGCAGCTTGGTCATATGAGTGAGTGAGTTGGCGAAATTGAGCAAACGTCAATTGATCAATGGCATAGAAGTGTAAGTTGGACTTCTGTGAGTACTATGTCCATGACAAGCAGTGCAGGGTACAGTTTCGCAGGTCGGTACATACAATAGTTACCAGGAGCCGGAGTGGGAATGGCTCCGGGGTCGGGAGTGGGAGCGTTGGATCGATGGTTGCCCAAAGTTCTGGCTCTCAGGGAGCGAGTTCCGATAAGGGTAAACGTAGCGGAACAAGATCCATATGAAGGCGGAGCGCGTTCTCAACACAACGGGATCTAGATCCTTACTTAATGGGGGACGTGGTCCATATACAATGGGATCGTGTTACCATATGCAATAACATCATGCTTCCATCCGGAATAGGAACTAGATCCCATTTGAAGTTGATTGCGTTTGTATTTGGAAAGGATCGAACTCCATTCAAGGACGGATCGCGTTCCTTGCATGATTGGTCCACTCTTCCATCACAAAATTCCACTTGTATCAAGAACCCAACCCCATTACACAAGGATTCATGTTCCCACTAAGCACTGCAGCTCGTTCTCATATAAACAAGATCTTGTCTTGGTTTATTCTAGAACTCATTGTCCTATGTAGCAATGGCCCATAGGGCTAGATCGATGCACGACCAACCCTAGATGTCCATGGATTAATTGAATTCCATTAATCTTGTATGAAATAAATTCTTTCAATGCCTTATGCAATTATATTTTTGCAACGGTTAATGTTAGTATTGTTCAAAATCTCATACATGATACGCATATGGACATCATGTTGGTCGTTTGGGTACTTGGAAATATATTCTCTGTGAAATAATTTTTTTTTGACAACGTTACATAGGAATGGAACTTGAGACATTGGGCAATGAAAACCTATGCCTCTACCATCTTGAACCAAGCCCATTTCCTTTGTCAGTGAAATAAATTACTAGCGCAGTACATTACTAGTGTAATATATTACCTGAAAATGGATGTTGTTGTTTGGGTAGCATCTGGATGCAACCTAAGAATGCATTGCTACTGTTTAGCTACGTCTAGAAGAAATTTGGGAAATGCATTACTGTTATTTTGGGCTGGAGATATTGTATGAAAATTTTGCTTAAAATATAATTATTTTATTCTAAGAGTTAAATTTATTTAAGAAGTTTCTTTTAGGAAATTATAAATTGGTAAAATAGTTTTATTCAAAATTATAAAAAATTTATTGTCTTTGAAGTAAAGGATGAAGTTCCGTGAACACAGGGATCGTGTTCCTAAATTTTAGGGATCATGGATCTTATTTATTTGGGAACAAGATCTACAATCTTCTGGAACGTGCACCGTGCGATGGTGGGATCGAGATCATCGGGATCCTTTGTTCATAGGATTGGGTACCCAATAATTGAACCTAGATCTCGAAATAAATAAATCGTGTTTTGGGCGAGATCCCAGTCATGGAACACCGGAGCTGGATTCCGGAGCCAGAGCGTTATCCTTTTGGGGTGCTTCCGGTAACTGTGGTGTGCTTCCGGTAACTATGGTGCATATCATTCTTGAGTATGTTCTTTCATATGTATAGGGCCTTGCATCGGTTGTCTCAGAAGGACGATCTCTGTACTTTGATTCCTTCGTAGATAATTTCTTAAAGAATGTGTGGATTTACACATTAAAGAAGGTAGTTGTAGTTAACGCATTCAAGCATTGAAAAGCTAAGGCGACAAATAGATTGGGAAGAAGGTTGAGTGCATGATGAATGATAATGGTGTAGAGTACATTATTGCTAAGTTCATAAACTCTTACAGGAACGAAGGTATTACTCATCACTATACCACTCGAAAGACATTGCAACAGAATGAAGTTGCTGAGCGCATGAACATGACACTTCTAGAGAAGGCCCACCGCATGCTTAGTAACATTGGTTTGTAAAAGGACTTTTGGGAAGAGGCAGTCACTACAGTGTGTAATCTCATCAATAGATCACCATCTATTGCAATAGAGTGTAAAATACCACAAGAGGTATGGTCTGGTAAAATTTTTTATTATTCTCATTTAAGAATTTTTGGTTATCTTGCTTATGTTCAAAAGGATGATAAGTGGTTATGTGATCAAAGAAGTGTGTTCTCCTTGGTTGTACTGATGAAGTTAAGGGATTTAGAATGTGGTACTTGGATCTTAAGTCGCTTAAGTTTATTATCAATTGATATTAAGTTTGACGAGTGCCATGTTGAAGCACATTCAAAAGGGTGCTGACAAGAGTGGTGATACCATTGAAGTGGAGTTGACAACTCCAGAAAATACTGCAAAACATGTGCCAAAAAATCCCAGTGAAGGAGTGGAGGAGAATGTTGAGGAGGTTGCTAAGCCTACTCTACATGAGGAAGAGCCTTAGCTTGGAAGGGGAATAAGAACCAAGAAGCCTATAATGTGGTACGGTTTTGAGGACATGTTGGCTTATGCCACAAGTCAATAGCCATCAAAGCTACACAAGATATTGAGATTAGCAGGTGGAATAATACCACGAATGAATAAATGGAGCTCTTCATAAGAATTCTACTTGGGATCTTATGAAGTTGCACAAAGGCAAGAGAGCCATTTGATGTCAATGCGTTTTTAAAAAAAATGAAAGATCACCTGAGTTTGGTAGTATTCAATTTAATGCATGGTTGTTGCAAAAGGCTATATGCGAAGGGAAGGTGTTGACTATAATGAAATCCTCTCCATTTGTGAAACACACTTAGCCATGGTTGTATTGTTTGATTTGGAGTTGGAGCAGCTTGATGTCAAAACTGGTTCTTGCATGGAAAGTTAGAGGAACATTTTGTGGTTAAGGTCAAGGAAGACCATGTGTGCAAGTTGAAGAAGTCACTGTATGTCTAAAGTAGTCTCCTAGGTAATGGTATAAACACTTTGATAAATTCATGATTAGTCATAGGCATGTTAGAAATAAGTATGATAATTGTGTCTATTTTAAGAGATTTTCTAATGCTTGATTCATCTATTTTTTGCTCTATGTGGATGCTATGCTTATTGCTGTGAAGAATTCTTTAGAAATCAGTCTTGTTAGAGAATTTGAGGTGAAATATGTTCAACAAAGAAAATTCTTAGTGTGGAGATATGTAGAGATAGAAAGTTGGGTAAATTGTGACTATCTCAGAAGGAGTACATAAGAAAGGTCTTCACTAGGTTTGCGATGGAGATTTTAAAGCCCATGGGTACTCTTCTTGCTGCATATTTCGAATTGTCGACATCATTATCTCCAAGTACATATGTTGAAAAACAATACATCTTGTGTTCCCTATGCGTGTGCAATTGGAAGCTTTATGTATGCAATGCTTTGTACTGGTCCAGATATTTCTTATGTTTTAGTGTGGTGAGCAATTATATGGCTAATCCAAAACAGGAGCATTGACATGCAGTAGATGAATTCTGCATCACCTAAGGGGCACGTCAGATGTGGTTCTGGTGTTTGACAGTAGTAGCAAGTTTGCTGACAAGGTTATTAGTTATGTTGATGTTGACTTTGCAGGTTATTTAGATTGTAGAAGATCTACTACAGATTATGTGTTTTACACTTGTAGGAATTCCTATTAGTTCGTTCATCTATTATTGCTTTATGTGGATGAAATGCTTATTGTTGCGAAGAATCCTTTAGAAATCATACTTCTTAGAGAATTTGAGATGAAAGATATTCAACAAAGAAAATTCTCAATATGGAAATATGTAGAGATAAAAAGTTGGGTAAATTGTGGCTATCTCAAAAGGAGTAAATTGAAAAGGTCCTCACTAGATTTGGGATGGAGCTTTTAAAGCCCATATGTACTCCTCTTGCTGGACATTTCAAATTTTCGGCAACATTATCCCCAAGTACAGATGTCGAAAACAATACGTATCGTGTTCCCTATGCAAGTGCAATTGGAAGCTTCATTTATGCAAGGGTTTGTATTGGTCAAATATTTCTCATGTTTTAGTGTGGTGATTAAATATATGGCTAATCCATGACAGGAGGATTGGCATGCAATAGATGGATTCTTCATTACCTAAGGGGCCTGTCAGATGTTGTTCTAGTGTTTTGACAGTGGTAGCAAGTTTGCTGACAAGATTATTGGTTATGTTGATGTTGACTTTGTAAGTGATTTGGATTGTAGAAAATTTACTTCAGGTTGTGTTTTACTCTTGTAGGAACTCCGATCGGTTGGAGATCGATTCTACAAACTGCAAGTGCTTTGTCTATGGCCAGAGTAGAATATATGGTTGTTATTGAGGCAGTAAAAGAGTCTATCTAGCTAAGGGGGTTTGTAATTGAAGTGGACTTATAACACAATGAGATTATTTCTATCGTTATAGTCAGTGTGCAATACATTGGCAAAGAAGCAAGTATACTGTGCATGGACGAAGCATATTAATGTCAGGGCATCATTTTGTCCATGAGATTATAGTTGAGGGTGACATATTGTTACTGAAGATTGACGAAGATTAATGCCACAAAGAATATTGTGGATAATGCTGTCAAAGCCTGTTCCATTATAAAAGTTCAATCTATGCTTAAATTGATTAATGCATTATCAACGTGACTGCCCGTGAGGGTGCATGTGGAGAAGATGGCCGATCGGAATTTCTTTTTGAAATTCAAGCCAAGGTGGAGATTTGTTGGGATATGTCTTGAATCTCAAGTGATATAGGATTATTCTTAGGATTGACTTTAGTTTTCCTAGTTGAAAGGGATTTTTTTTTGTTTCTTAATTTTGTGGGAGATTCTTTCCTATTTTGGAGGGAGACAATCCTTAGCTTTTAGGAATTGTATATTTCCCATAAGCGAAACTCATTAAAAGATAGGAGCTATTGAATATCACATTAAATAAGAAGAAAAAACTAGGAGTCCTATGTTGAGTCTCTTTGCGATTTCCTTCTTTTCTCTATAAATGGCATTGTAAAGAGTGAAAGGGTCAAGGGTGTAGAGAATCCTTGGGTTGTGTGTGGAGATTTTATTTCTAGGAATTAGTGAAAAATTATTGATCTTTTTCACTTGTGGATGTAGTCACATCTATGACGAACTACATGAAATCTTGTTCTTTTTGTGTTATTTCTTTCCTACTTTATTTTTCTTGTTTATTGTTTGTTTGTTGCCGGTTCTATTTTTCTCGCCCCTTTACTCTACCAAAAATCAACCCATTAGGTTTTAGAGCTTCCATGTGCAACACATTTAGTTGTGACCTTGCACATGTACTTTTGAGAGAGAGAGAGACAGAGATTCAGATTTGATTGAGAAAGTGAGGCTTTTAATCCTACAAAGTTATCTGCAGGTTCCTCATGTCCCATTGGGATCCAGAAGTTCATCTTTTACAATTTGCTGCTTGATTAGCGCTTGAAGGACTCACAGTTGCATGATGGTTTGTTTCAGATAAGAATAGGAGTATATTGCTGAATTGGCCAAAACGTTTCGAGATAATTTTGGGGGTAGCAAGGGGCCTTCTCTATCTACATGAAGAAGCATCAGAGAGGATCATTCATAGAGACATCAAGGCAAGCAACATACTGTTAGATAATCAGATGGTTCCTAAGATATCAGATTTTGGGTTGGCAAGGCTCTTCCCTGGTGACGAAAGCCATGTCAGCACATTTAGAATATCTGGCACACAGTAAGAATGTCGAGACTGTCTTCTGCTTTCCTACTTTTCTTTTCTACTTTACTGTTTTCTTTCCAGGAAGGGCCTAAGTTTTGTGTGTGTGTGTGCACGCACTTTGAGAGATACTTTGGCTGAACTTGGCCATGTTGAGAAATGCTTCACGGGCAATATAAGAATGTTAGCTGCTCTTTTGAACTTTTTAACACTGGAAATATGGACAAATTCTGTGCCCGATATTCCCCCTGTTATAGATTGCTTTTGTCCCTGAATATTTGGCAAATTTCAGTCATGATTTAAATAGAATTTGGAGCTCTGCCATGGCTGGGCCCAAGCAGGTCCCAAGCCTAGAGAAAGGAGGGTAGTGTTAGATCGCCAACCAACTAAACCTTTTTCCACAACTATTTTATGAATCCTGATCTAATGTTGGACTATGATGATTTAAATGGAATTTGGTGAAATTGGTTGCATTTTATATTAAATCTGCCAGAATTGAGTAGAATTGCTCAAACATAGAATTCCCCCAAGTTTAGTAAAGTTATGATTGAATCTCAAACAATTAATTCTGAATTTTAGTTATAGGTAAGAGCTTTGTTTTCTTTGTTCCTATGTATGACCCTCAAATGTTGATATTTTGAACTTTGACATGTACAACATCTACATTTCTAGATTGGTTAGGATCCTTGTTTTAGAAATCTATGCCTATTTTAAAAGTCGATTGTCTTGAGAAAACCTATTTCTGAATAAATACAAAACACCCCTTGTACTTCAATTATGCTCACTGTGCTACCACCCCTTGTGGCATATATGAGATCAGAAGGCCCATTTCCTATAGGCATGTGCCAAAGGACCTTCTTCCTTTCTGTGGTGTCAAAAATGCCCCTTTCAGTAACAGCCATCCAGCCAGTGTGGATCCAAAGTTAGTACAGCCATTCGGCCCATGTAGATTGCATCAATGGTTCTTGGCTATCTGATTCAACAATGTAACATACGGTTAATAATAATTTATATTTTTTATGTTATATGCCTCTATTTCTAAAACGGACCAAAATGCCATTATCCGTATTTTTGTTTCTGTACTTGTCTATATTTTTAAAATGGAGCAAAATACATCATTCTTGTATGTTGTACAACTATGTAACCTAGTTTAAACACTTGAACATGGTGGCTGACTCGGTCATGACGAGGAACTTGTCAACCTGCCAAGTTGAACTGTGTAACTCAGAAAGTTTGGGGAAGTTTTTCAAATGATCAAGTGAAGTCTAATAATATAAAACATGTATAGTGGGAATTGGACCCAGTTTTCCATGTGAAGCATATTACAGCACTATCACTGTATCACATTGGAAACACCCCATACTTGTCAAAATAAATATAGATAATTGTGTATCATGATATGTTCTGATGCATATCGAACATTTCATTAATGAAACTCACCACCTGGTTAGTCAAGTTGACACGGGCAACTTTTCCAACTCGAAACAAGTTTCGATTCACTGTTTAAAATACGAAGGCACATGGCATCCAAAAGATGGTCCATGGCATTCTAGTTAGGATTCATTTAGTTGTAGGCATATGCACACAAATATAAACAATCTGTATTTATTGGTGTAAAATATATGTTCTTTCCAACAGTGGCTATATGGCTCCAGAGTATGCATTGCATGGGTTCTTGTCGGTGAAATCTGATGTCTTCAGCTTTGGGGTCTTGGTGCTAGAGATTGTGAGCGGTAGGAAGAGCTTTGACAAGGACTTGGATGAAGAGAGCCAAGAACTTCTGGGCTATGTGAGTTTATTATACTATTCTATGACTTTAATCATAAAATACAAAATATTGGCACATTTTATTTGTATACCATTTTTTTGGGAGAGAAAATGGTGGACAACCACTATCGACAGTTTTGATTTTTGAAATTTGGAAGCATTTGTGTGCTATTGCATATGCTTGTTTTGGATACATAGTTTCAATGCCTCAGCCCTAACTACCTTTATGTGTGTGTGTGTGTGTGTGTGTCTATATATATATATATATATATATATCAGTA